GGTTTTAGGATTTCAACATAAGTATTTTAGGGGGACGATTCAATCTGTAACAGACCTTTTCTTTTCACAAAAACTAACCTCACCTTTAGTACTTCAGTGTTCCTGTAATACTTAGACATGTCCCTGGAAATGCTCTGGAAATTTATTGTCAAATATGTTTTGGAAATGTTCTACATTACATTCTCTTAGAGATTCATGTTTTTAGGTACCTTGAGTCAGTTTAAACTCATAGTGACCCCATGTGATAGTGGAACTGCCCCCAAAGGGTTTTCTGGTTGTAGTCTTTATAAGAGCAGATTTCTAAGTCTTTCTCCAGGGGGGCTGTTGTGTGGGTTGGAACCGCCAACCTTTTGGTTAGCAGCCAAGTGCTTAACTGTGAATGACCAGGGTTTCTCTTAGAGATACATAGTGTTAGCATATTAAAAACTTTGAGATGCCTATGTAGGATGCACTCTTTGCTGTTGAGTTTTCAATCTTAGCTGATCTTAATAACCTTGTTTTTCAGGGAACTTCTAATACCACCTCAGTGGTGTGTTACAGAAACAGTGCTCTGTAGGGGAATGATTCTCTTCTGCCTGTCTGACTTCTCCCCCTTCATCCCATCTTCTTCAGAGGATTTCAAAATTTCATGGTATTACTAGAGTTTGACCTAAATCTATCCCTGGTCACCTATATTTCATGAAGCTGCTGTTGCTAGATGCCATTGAGTTGATTCATAGCAACCCCACGTGAAAGAATGAACAGCCTAGAGCTGCCTGCAGATCACCAGGTCTTTGTCCTGTGAAGCCACTGGGTAAGTTTAAGCTGCCAACCTGTCAGTTAACAGCCAAGCACTTAACCTTTACATCACCAAGGCTTCTTAAGGGAGCCAATGAACTTCCAAAAATTAGCCAATGAAAACCCCCTGGATCACAACAGAATTTTGTCCAATATGGTGCTGGAAGATGAGCCTGTTAGGGTGGAAGGCACTCAAAATGCACAGTAGCTGCAGCAATAGACGAGCTTTCCAACGATCATGATTGTGCAAGAACAGGCAACATTTTATTGTGTAGTAAGTACACGGTGTCGCTGTGAATGAGAGTCAACTCGGTGACAACTGTTAACAAAGTAAAATTTATTGTTTAAGTGGTCAGGCTAGATAATTTTATTGGGGAAGGAATTGAAAGAGTATGGGCTACAAAACCAAACCCATTTGCTGTGGAGTTGATTCTGCCTCATAGTGACTGTGTAGGACAGAGTAGAACTGACCCCAGAGTGTTTCCAAGGCTGTAAATCTTTATGGAAGCTGACTGCCACATCTTTCTCCTGCAGCGCAGGTGGTGGGTTAGAACTATTGACCTTTTGATTCGCAGCTGAGTACTTTAGCCACTGCATCACCAAGACTCCTTTTATAAACTACTTTTCAGTAATCTGATAATGTAGGTAAGTTCCTTTAGGAGCCCTAGTGGTGCACTAGCTAAGCACTGGCTGCTAACCAAAGTGTCTGGCAGTTTGAACCCACCCAGCAAACTGGCTGGAGAAAAGACCTGGCAATCTGCTCCTGTAAAGATTACAGGATAAGAAACCCTAAATGGCAGTTCTACTCTCATATAGGGTCGCTGTAAGTCAAAACTGACTTGATGTCACATAACAATTATGTTCTTTACACGGTGTTCTCCAAGACCTTTGTTTCTACTTGAAATTTTTAGGGTGTGGTCTTGTTAATTTTTGCAGTGGTTAAAGCATTTAGCAGCTAACCAAAAAGTTGGTAGTTCAAACCCCCCAGCTGCTCCACGAGCGACAGATGAGGCAGTCTGTTTCTGTAAAGATTTATAGCCTTGGAAACCCTGTGGGGCAGTTATACTCTGTCCCAGGGTTTGCTGTGAGTCAGAATCAACTTGATAGCAATGGGTTTCCTTTTGGTTTTAGAGGTGTTGGGAAAGGTGGAGCATGAAACCCTTGACTTTTTTTTTTTTAACTATCTCCAACCACAACCTTCATACTTAATAAGTTTTTTGCCTATATTAGTGTATATCCTGCCTTTCATTCTTTGTAAGTCTATTTCCCAACCTTTCTAGTCTTAGTTTTTACAAGCTAATTAGGAGTTTTGGGTCCTGAGTAGCGCCCTTCTGAGGACTAACACTCTCTAGGTCCTCTCCAGGGTCACTTACTATGTGTGAGTTATCCCCCAGGAACTCTACATCTGTCAATCAGAATAAATAGAGTGGCACTAACATCATGTGAGGGGTTATGCAGGTACAAGATGTAATCCTGAAGAGTTTCATGGTTTAGTTGTAAGAATAATGTTGTTGTGAGACAATAAAATTAAATGCTAAATTATGTAGTCAGAGAGAGTAAATGCTAAAAGTTTAAAGGGAATAATATATGCATATACAAGAGTTGTAATGACTGATAGTGACTTTAGGGCAAATCTTAAACATACAGAAGAGATTCATCTGGAAATGGAACATGTAGGATGAAGTGGAAGAGGAAAAGTCAGGAAGACCAGATAGTATGAGGTTGCAGTAATCCAAATATGAGGTGATACTTGGAATAATGTTAAGGAGAGGAGAAGGAATGAGACTGGAGACATTTGAAGGAAAAATGAATAGAATTTCTTCATTGGATTGAGTAGGGCAGGTGGAGATGCTTGAGTTGTAATAGTGGATAGCTGGATTTCTCTTAACTTTGTGAAACACCAGAAGATCAAGATTAAGGGCTCAAAAATCAAAACTAGGGCCAAGCAATTCAACATTCTGGCTTCTTTCAACATATCTGATGTGGGCTATAAAAAGTCGCATATATTCCCAGTGACTCCTGTTAAGCGCTTTCAGAAAGCAAGCCTGGTCCAAAAGATTAAAGTAATACCCTAAATATTTTATCACCAAAGCTGTTGAGGTCAATGATTTGCCTAGTAATTTTTTTCTTATTTATTGTTACCTAAAAGTTAACATATATTCACTAAGTACAGAGTGCCTTGTCACTGATGTTAAGACATACCCTTAACCCTTGTACCTTGACTTTTTGATGCCTTTTCCCCCCTACCTGGATTGACATCCCACTTCAGTCACCCAATTTGGATGATTCTGCCACAAAAGTCAGATCTCAACCAGTTTTGCATCTCATGTGCTGCATAACAGCTGTTGGGGCAATGCCTTACCGAATAGTATGTTCATGGTCCCCATAAGGTTATAGAAGAGTTCAGAAATCCCAAGTAGAGAATGAGACAATTAAACACAGCTTCCCTCACATAACATGTGTATCTCATGTCTCTTGTATACAAAGTGATTGTGCTGCCACGCGCATAATGGTACAGTATGTATATAACATGTCTTGATAGTCATAAATGCCTTTGTTACTGGCTTATGTATATACTTCACTATACTTCCTATCTAAAAAGTTTAATGAATAATATTGCATGCTTCAACTCATAGGCAGCAGCATCCAATCGTGTGCATTGTGAGTCTCTTAGTATTGTAGCATTACCTTTCTGTTTAGTTTTCTTTTGAAAATATTACCGTGAGGTGCATGATGGCTCCTAAACGCAGCAAAACCAATGCTAGTGATAACAGCAACAAAAGAGGCAAAGGAGAAGTATCGATTTGGAAATGAAATGAAAGGTTATTAAACCAACACAAAACTGGAAAACTAGTAAATACTTTTGCTCACGATTTAGGCATGTTTGCATTTGACAATCATGTCAATCCTCAAAAACAAAATCCTCCAAGCTGTTAAAGGATACCAAAAAAAAAAAAACCTCACTGGCATCCAGGGGATTTTGAGTCAAAATCCTTTTGGGTGTCCAAGAAGATATTTATGGACATAGAGTGCACAGTCCTCCTTCGGATGAGTGGCCGGTGGGTTTGAACTATCAATCATCTGGTTAAGCAGTCAAATGTGTTAGGCACTATGCCACCAGAGCTCCTTAGTTCCACTAAAGCTGTCAGTCTAACAAAAATAAAATGAGCCTATAGCAGATACAAAGAAAATGCTAATGATGTGGATTAAGGAGCACACAAAAGCAAATCCCTCTCAGCACACTGACCAAAAAACAAAACAAAAAACTCATTGCCATCTAGTTGGTTCTGATTCATAGCGACCCCCCCCCCCCATAGGGTTTCCAAGGCTTATCTTTCGGGAAGCAGATTGCCTCATCTTTCTTCCAGGGAGTGGCTGGTGGGTTCAAACCAGCAACCTTTTGATTAGCAGCCAAACGTCTTAACAACTGCAACATTAGAGCTCCTTAGGTACACAGATGATCAATGCTAAGGCATAAAGCTTGTTCAAGATGCTTAAAGAAAAAGCAGGACCAGATTACAAAATGGTGTTCCCACGACGACCAAATCACATAATATCCTATTTCACAGAACATATAGTGGACATTGGAGCTCTGTTGGCATAGTGGTTAAATGCTGGGCTGCTAACCAAGTGGTCAGCGGTTCCAATCCACCATCTGCTCCACTGGGAGAAAAGATGTGGCAGTCAAGCCCCCTAAAAGATTTCTCAAAAGTCAACTGCCAACGAGTCTGAGCCTACTCACAGTTACCCCTCCTTGGGTGTCCTACGTGGTGTCACTACAGAAGTAGATTGCCTAAGCTTCCTTCTTAGGAGTGGTTGGTAGGTTTGAACCGCCAGCCTTTTGGTTAGCAGTTAAATGCCTTGTACTCCATGCCAAGACTTTTAATTCTATGAGGTAGTTCTACCCTGTGCTATAAGGTCACTGTTAAATCAAAATTGACTCCACAGGTTTATCGTGGATGTTAAATGACTCATGACTGTACAGTAGAAAGACGTCCTTTACTGTCTCCAAGACTAGGTGTGTCTGAAATATCTCGCCAACCAGGACCATAAGTCCTCCGTAGGCCACCCTCGCTCTCCCTTCCGCCCCAGGTTAAGTATTCACCCCAAGGCACCGCCACTGCGGCAGATTGCGGAAGGGGCGTGGTCCCAGGAGCGGAAATATCGGAACCCGGAAGTGTAGGTTCACGTGTCGCTGCTCTCTCTGAGGCCTTGTTGTCAAAATGGACTTGAAAGTGAGGAACAAAGGGAAGAAAAAGAAAAATGCCGAGCAGGGGTAAGTGGCACGCAGAATGTCTGCCTGGGCAAGGATATTGTGCATTCAGTAGCTCGGGCGGGCAGAAGCAATGGGTCGTGGAGTTTCTGAGTTTATGCCGCTCGTTTCCAGAGAGAACTCTGACGACAGCTTTCACAGGAATCTAACTGGAGACTATCTCGTTGGACAAGTGGCCAATAGCTTATTCCACAGTAAGCGCCTGTCTAGAGGCAGCACAGATCGCCTGGCGTCCCTCTTCAGTTCTTTTGTGTCTCCTGTTCAACCCGTGTATGTGCCTGTGCCTAAAGTAAGTCACTGGGTTCTGTGACGAATGGTCCATTAGAAGAGCTTTAAAACAAGCAGACTTTACTCTTCAGGCTAGGGTATGATTTCTGAAACTGCCATTGGAGGAGCTGGGGCAGTTATTTAATTTTAAGTAACCTTTCAGTACTGGACATACCAGTGAGAGAGTAAACCTGCTATTTTAGAAAGATCTCTAAATTATCACTTAGGTTCAGAATTTTAAAGGATGAGGTCTCAAACATAACTTCACACTTTTAAAAGGAAACCACCAAAAGAAGGAAACAGAATGAAGATGAAGAAATTACATCTCGAATTCAAAGGCCACATTTGCAAGAATCTGCACAAAAAATGAAAGAGAAGAAAAAACTTTCTGATTCAGACAAGTTGGCAAACAGGTCGGTAAACTCTCCCCCTCTCTCTTGGTTGATGTTAAAGAAATTAAAATTCCTATACAGCAGTAATTGTCTTAATATTTTTCTGAGTTCATATTTCTTGTAATTTCTTTAATTTTTTTTAATTATAAATGCCATACATATACAAAATTTGAAAAGGGTAATGGACTCCATGTACCCAGCATCAGCGATTATTAATGCTTGGTTAGTCTTATTTCGTGTTTACCCCTATTCATATTCCCTTCATTATTTGGAATCAAATCTAAGGCTTACTGGTTCATCTATAAATATTTTAGAGTGTATGATCAATTTAATGTGTATGATGAGTTCAAAAAGAAAACTAAACTCACTGCTGTCAAGTCAGATTCCCCTCATAGTGACCCCTCCTTGGGCTTCCGAGGCAACATCTCCACAGAAGTAGATTGCCCAGTCTTGCTTCTGAGGAGTGGCTGGTGGTTTGAACCATCAGCTTTCTGGTTGGCAGTCAAATGCCTTAGGCACAATGCCACCAGAGCTCCTAGATGAGTTAGTTGATTTTTTTTTTAAAGCAGTTTATATGAATTATGATCCAAATAAAATGTGTGCATTGCAGTTGGTCAATATATGAGACTAAACCTTGGGTCAGCTCTCCTACTTTGTAGTTCATCAGCCACAAAAGATGGAGGGTGTCAGTTGGTGTACTTGCTGCTGCTTAGCAGTGCCACCACATGATCCTACTTAGCTTTCCTCTATACTATCAACAGCTTTTCCACATTTGCCACTCTCTTCAAGTCTCTTATTTCCTTTTCTCTTGTCTTTCTCAGCAGATTACCTCTTAATTGCTAATGGGTGTGAACTTCCACTTTTTGTCCTTTTACTTAAACTTACTTTGTCTACATTGTTGTTACCTATTGTGCAGACTCTTGGTGACCCCATGCACTGCCCATTCCTGTGCCATACCCGCGATCAGTTGTGATCATACAGTTGTGATCCATAGGGTTGTCACTGGCTGATTTTCAGAAGTAGATTTCTAGGCTTTTCTTCTTAGTTCATACTAGACTTGAAGCTTCTTTGAAACCTGTTCAATATCATAGCAACATGCAAGCCACCACTGGACAGACATTTGGTGACTATACCTGAGGTGCGCTGGCCCAGAATCAAACCCATGTCTCCCGCATGGGAGTTGAGAATTCTATCACTGAACCACCAACAACCTTGTACACCCTTAATTTTTTTCCTCCTTTTCTCACAGAAAAGTATTTTCCCTCTTATTCAATATTATTCAACCATCTGTGTTTGTATACCACATAATTGCTCTTCTGCCTTACTGGGGATTTGCCCTGCCATCAGATATATCCATTTTCTCTTTTTTCCTGTATTGTCAAGCTTTCTACCATACACCAAAATTAAAAAAACAAACTCACTGCCATTGAGATGGATCCGACTCATAGTGACCCCTCCTTGGGTTTCTAAGGCAGTATCACTATGGAAGTCAGTTGCCCAGTCTTCCTTCCGAGAAGTGGCTAGTGTCAAATGGTTAGCAGTCAAATGCCTTAGGCACTACTCCACCAAAGCTCCTTTCTACCATATAAACAAAATACTTAGCATGTTTTTTTTTTTCTACCATATGAACATGCTAAATATTTTTTGAAAATGCTAAATATTTTTTGAAAAAATAACTCCCTGCCCTTCCCCTCCTGTCTCTGTTTGCTACCATTTCTTCCATCCTTCACCTTATAGTCAAACTTTTTTAAAAAGTTGTCTGTATTTGCTTGCTCTTTTTCTTGATCTCTTATTTATTCTACACCTTGATGTCTGGTTGTTTTTGTTTTAGTCTTTTCTTTTTACCCTTGATCATGCCCTGGAAATAGTGCTCAGGGAGACTGCCCTACATAGTTGTCATATTTGATCTCCAGAATAGCTTTCCTCTTACAAGTCCTCTCTGTTACATTGAGATGGCTGTTTTTCTTCTGGAAGCTATTGAAGTCTCTGATAGCAATCTCTTCTGATTCTACTCCTCTTGTTTGGTCCTTCTCAGGCACCTTTTCTTGTTGTTGTTGTTGTTGTTGTTGTTGTTGTTGTTGTTTGCTGTCGAGTCGGCCCCGACTCATAGCGACCCCTCCTTGGGTTTCCGAGGCAGTATCACTACGGAAGTAGGATTGCCCAACCTTCCCTCCGAGGAGTGGCTGGTGGGTTTGAACCACCAGCCTTCTGGTGAGCAGTCAAGTGCCTTAGGCACTATGCTACCAGAGCTCCCCCTTTTCTTCTTACCACTCCTTTATGTTGATTTTCTTTAGGATTCTGTCCTCAGTCATCATCTCATGACCTTTTCTCTTATTTCATTCTGGGCAACCTCTCTCCTAATTTTCAGACCTGTTTATCTGTTTGCCTACTGGCACCTGCTCCTATATGTTCCCTATACACCTTAAATTAAAAATGTTTCATACTGAACTCTTCATCCTCATCAGATCTCTACTGCCATTCTTCTAGTTGCCTAAGCTAGTGATGCAGGAGTCTTCCTCTACTCTTTCCTTTCCCTTCATATCTAATCAGGTGCCAAGTTCTGAGATGCTGTGTTTTAATTTTCTCTTAAATTTATCTTCTCCTTCCCACCTCCTCTACTCTGATTGGTCTGTTGTCTCTTCAAATACTTACCATTGTTAACTGTCTCCATACTGGTCCTCCCTTCTTGCCCAACCCTTCCTAATTATCCTCCACTCAAATCTGTCTTGGAAGAAGTACAGCCAGAATGCTCCTTGGAAGTGAGAATGGCCAGACTTTGTCTCACCTACTTTGGTCATGTCAGAAGGCACCATTCCCTGGAGAAGGATATCATGCTTGGTAAAGTGGAGGGTCAGAGAAAAAGGGGAAGACCCTCAGTGGGATGGATTGGCACAGTGGCTGCAATGATGGGCTCGGGTATAACAAGGATTGTGAGACTGGCACAGGATCTGGCATTGTTTTGTTCTGTTGTAAATACGGTGGCTGTGAGTTGGAGCTGACTCAGCAGCACCTAACAACACCTACTGACTGCCCAAGTGATGATTTTGTAGACATTGCTCAAAAACCTCATTACTTCCCTCCCCTCAGTGTTCTCTGTAGGATAAAATATTAAGTACCTTTGCATAAAGGCAAGGTCTTCTTGACCTGGTTCCCACCTTATCACACTGTCTCATTTTCTGTCACTTCTTTTAGATATATACTATCTTGAACCAAAAATTAGATATGGTACCTCTCCTTAGTGTATCTTTTGATCTACTGGAGAAGTAATCATAGTCAACATTTATTTCAGACTGATTAGTGCCAGCCAGATAACTGCCTTTCTTCCTCTGAGAAGTTTTCCTTGTTTTTGCAGACACATGCTTCCTTTTATATTCCCATATCGTGTATTATAATAGTTACCATTTTATTTTGAATTTTACATGTCTAGTGAGTCACGAGCCCTGGTGGCATAGTGGTTAAGTGCTTAGTTGCTAACCTAAAGGTTGACAGTTCGAACCCACCCACTGGCTCTATATGAGAAAGACCTGGTGATCTGCTTCCATAAAGATTACAGCCAAAAAAAAAAAAAAAAAAAAAAACCCTATAGTGTAATTCTACAGTGTTACACAGGGTCACTATGAGTCAGAATTGACTGAAGCATACCCAAGAATGATGAGCTAGACTATTGAAAGGCCTTTAATGATGTCTTTATTTTTATATCCCCAGAGGTTAGAGCTGAATAAGAATGCAGTGAATGTTTGTTGGGTGAATGAATCATTTTTGTAACCCCTGCTACTCATTCTTTCCCCTCACTCCCTAAGATCGCCATCCAATTCTCTTTTTGGATTGATGCTCAGACTTACTTATCCATGAGAGCCAGTAGTTTATATTGAACTTACCATTTCACAATTTATTTTTGGTAAGCAGTCCTTTAAATGTTACAGAACCGTTGTAAGTAGGAAATCTGTTTTTTCCTATTGACTATATTACTTTTACAAAGTAAATATTTTGCATCTATATTAACCCTTTAGATCTCCAGGGCCTCCATTTCAAATAGTGCTGCAGTGCCCTTAAAGTTCCAGGGCAGCTGGATTTACCTGATGATTTTAGCATGTCTTCAAAAATAGTGCTTAACTTTTTTCTTTTAGATTGAAAAGTTTGTTTTCTAAAAAATAGTAGCCACTTTTTAGGTAATATCACTTTTAAAATATAGATATATTTATGATTGGTAAATTAATATTTAGAAAAGCCAGAGTAGTTAGGAAGTAGTTCTAATTATGAATAATACCCATTTACAAACTGTGTTTGTCGAATATTAGACCTGACTTCCATGATGGTTATTTCTTACTTTCTTTTGTTTTGCCTTAAAAAGGGAAAGTGCACTAGCATGTGCTGATTTAGAAGAAGAAATTTACCAGAAACGGGGGCAGAAAAGGAAAAGCTTTCAATCTAGTGATGGTGTTAAAACAAAGGATGGAAAAATACTTGATAATATAGATCACACAGTTGTAAATCAAAGAAAGAAAATTCAAATCAACAAAGAAGAAGAGAAATTAAAGAATGAGAGAACTGTGTTTGTTGGTAATTTGCCTGTCACATGTAGTAAGAAGGTAAGTTTATAGTTTTTGTGACCCCTACTACTCATTCTCTCCCCTCACTCCCTAAGATCTCCATCCAATTCTTTTTTTGGATTAATGCTTAGACTTTCTTATCCATAGGAGCCAATACTTTATATTGAACTTGCCATTTCACAATTTAATTTTGGTAAGCAGTCCTTTAAATGTTACAGAACTGTTGTAAGTAGGAGATCTGATTTTTCCTATTGGCTATATTACTTTTACAAAGTAAATGCTGTAAAAATTCAGAGCAGTTAATAATTTGTACCTTTCTTTATTCTTCATTCATTGAGTATGCACATAATTAATCATTGACGATTAGGTAACTACATAAATCATTCTATAACAGAATCTACTGTCCATACACTCCTTTCCATTATGTTAGTCACTGCTGTAATTCAGGATTTTGTAAACCTTATTTGAATTATTGTGGTGACTTCCACATAAGTATCAAAACATAAGGTCTATATGTGTAGGGATATTTATTTATATCTTTTTTTTTTTTACTGGTATATCTATCCTCTGTACCTGAAAGGGTGCATAACAAATAATTGTTGTTGTTATTGTTGCTACATGCTATCACTATCAAGTTGGTTTCGACTCCCCATGTGACAGAGTAAAACTGCCCCATAGGATTTTCTTGGCAGTAGTCTTTACAGGAGCAGATCACCAGGTCTTTCTCCTGCAGAGCAACTGCATGGATACAAGCCACCAACCTCTTCAGTTAACAGCTAAATACTTAAGCATTGTGCCACCAGATTTCCTTTAGCACCTCAATCCAAAAAGTCCAAATCCATTGCCATTGAGTTGATTCCAACTCATAGTGACCTCCTTTGGGTTCCTGAGGTGGTAAATCTTAGGGAAGTAGATTGCCCAGTCTTCCTTCCAGGGAGTGGCTGGTGTGTTTGAACCTCCAAGCTTCTGGCTAGCAGTCAAATGCCTTAGGCACTATGCCACCAGAGCTCCGTTAGCACCTAGTAGGGGTTTAATTGGGAGCTCTGGTAGCTGGGGCAATCTACTTCCATAGTGATACTGCCTCGGAAACCCAAGGAGGGGTCACAGTTGGGGCCCACTGGACAAGGCACATAACAACAACCACCGCAGGGGTTTAATAAATACTTGTTATGTAAATGAATGAGTACATCCCAAGTTTCTTCCATTATTTGGGCTTCACTAAACCAAAAACATGCTTTTAACTTTCTGTGTTTTCATATGACGCTCTATTGACAATACCTTGGGTCAAAATCCTGCTCATCTTTTGAAAACCAAACGAAACCATGGAGTCAGATCTGACTCGTGGCAACCCCTCCTTGGGTTTCCCAGGCGATATCACTATGGAAGTAGATTGCCCAACCTTCCTTCCCAGGAGTGGCTGGTGGATTTGAACTGCCAGCTCTCTGGTTAGCTGTAAAATTAAATTCCAGTTCCTGAAAAAGCAAACAGTACATAAAACTTCTTGACTTTTCCCTTTCCCAGTTGCTCTTTCATCTCCTAAGCATTTGATTCCTGATTATTTTGTAGGACACAATACAGTATGCTTATTAGCAGTTTTGTTTATTGACATTCCTATTAGATCATAGATCAAGAGTAAGGACCATATGTGGTGCTTTGCACAAATTGTAACCTTTCATTAAATTGTTTTTTAATTAGACTTGGTTACAGAAATTATTGCCCTAACTGTAAAACATATACTGTCTTCACATTTGAGCCAGTCATAAGAATAATGTATAAAACTTGCCCTCCAGGCTTTTCCTTAATGTGATGGTCTTCATTCTTTGTAGTTGGAGAATTCCTCATAGTGACATAAGCATGCTTAAATTCATACCTGGTTTACGCCAAAGTAAAAGATGACAGTCTGGAAAATAAAAGTCTAACCTTCATTTAGATGTAGTGATTAAAGATTACAAAAGCAGAAATATTGTGTACCTCATGAATATTAACATGGGCTTAAATTTTGTTTTGTCTTTATGTAAGTTTTAATAAATTGTTTTTGTCTCCCAAACCAAATAGTCCCCTACTTCTCCTGAAAAGTTTTTTAAAATAAAAATTGTCAGTAAAAATTATCAAGTAATTCAGTATTATATTGGAAGTCCTTGCCAGAGCAATAAAGCAAGTAAGTGAAATAAAAGGCATTCAAATTGGCAAAGAAGAAATAAGACAATATCTGTTTGCAGATGATATGATCTTATATGTAGAAGATCCCAAAGACTCAGTAAGAAAATTACTAGAACTAATTGATAGTTTCAGCAAAGTGCCAGGGTACAAAAACAGCATACAAAAATCAGATTCATTTACACTAATGAAGAAAACTCTGAAAAGGAAATCAGGAAGGCAGTGCCATTTTTACGGTAACTACCCAAAAGATGAAGTGCTTGGGAATAAATTTAATAAGAGACACAAAACACTTATACAAAGAAAAGTACAAAACACATTACAAGAAACCAAAAGAGATCTACATAAATGGAAGAATATACCATGCTTATGAATAGGAAGACTTAACATCATGAAAATGCAATGCTACCCAAATTAATCTACAGATAGAATGTGATCTCGATCCAGGTTCTATCATTTTTCTTTAAATAAATGGAAAAACTAATTACCAACTTTATATGGAAAGAAAAGAGATCTTAGATAAGTAAAGCACTACTATTCAGCTATGGGAGAGTTCTGGTGGCATAGTACCTAAGGCATTTGACTGCTAATCAGAAGGCTGGCGGTTCAAACCCACCAGGCACTCCTCGGAAGGAAGGTTGGGCAATCTACTTCTGTAGAGATACCTTGGAAACCCAAGGAGAGGTTGCTATGAGTCGGATCAGACATGGCAGTGAGGTTTTTTTTTTTTTTTAAATCATCTGTGGTAGTTAAAACAGCCTGGTACTGGCACAATGACAGACATATAGACCAATGGAACAGAATTGAGAACCTAGAAGTAAATCTATGCACCTGGGAACAGCTGATCTTTGACAGACGACCAAAACTCATTAAAGAGGGAAGAGATAACCTCTTCAATAAATGGTGCTAGCAAAACTGGTTATCAGTTTCCAGAAAAATAAAACAAGACTCATATCTAACACTATATATAAAAACAAACTCAAATTGGATCAAAGACCTGAGATGCAAAACCTAAAACTATAAAAGACCTTCGAGAAAAGTTAGGGACAAATTTAGAAGCCCTAATTGAAAGCATAAATATACTATTGAGTATAACTAAAAATGTACAAATACCAGAAGACAAAGTAGAAGACTGAGACCTCCTAAAAATTAGACACTTAGCACATCGAAAGATTTCACCAAGAATAAAAACAGGACTCACAGACTAGGAAAACTTTGCAGTGACATACGGAAAAGGGGCTAATCTAAAATTTATAGAAAGCTTGAACAATTTAACAACAAAAAGATAAATAATCCAATTAAAATATGCACAGAGAACATGTCACCAAAAAAGAGACACACACATGACATAATGCTTGCGATCATTAGCCATTTAAGAGGTACAAATCAAAACACAGATACCATCTCACTCCAGCACTAATAAATCAAACCAAAAACCAAACTCACTGCCGTTGAGTCGGACCCAACTCATAGCAACCCCACCTTGGGTTTCGGAGGCAGTATCACTACAGAAGTAGATTGCCCAACCTTCCTTCTGAGGAGTGGCTGGTGGGTTTGAACCGCCAGTCTTCTGGTTAGCAGTCAAATGCCTTAGGCACTATGCCACCAGAGCTCCCCCAGCACTAATAGCAAAGTTAAAAAATAACAGAAAACAATAAATGCTTGCGAGGGTATGAAGAGACTGTAACCCTCATACACTGCTGTTGGGACTGTAAAAAAAGGTGAAACCACTGTGGAAAATGGTATGGTGCTTCCTAACAAAGCTGGAAATAGAAATACCATTTGATCCAGCAATCTCACTACTAAGTTTATATTCTAGAGAAATAAGCCATGACATGAACAGATAACATGCACACCAGTGTTCACTGCAGCACTATTCACAGTAGCAAAAAAATGGAAACAACCTAAATGCCCATCAGCAGAATGGATCAACAAACTATGGTACACACACACAATAGAATACTACACCATGTTAAAGAACAATGATGAATTTGTGAAATTCACAACATGGGTGAACTTAGAGGCGATTACGCTAAGTGAAATTTACAATTAAAAAAGAAATTGTCAGCTAATCAATTCACTTTTGTATCAGTTGATAGACTAAAAGTTTAACTTTTTTTTTTTTTTTAGAAGCTGAAGTCTTTTTTTAAAGAGGATGGACAAATAGAATCTGTACGATTTCGTTCTCTGGTATGTCCTCCCCTATGCTGTGAAAATTGCATAATCTTAAAACTATTGCATTTAAATCAGTTAAATATTAACTTCTTGGTATTAGTAGGAGTAGCACTTGACTTTTGAACCTTTTGAATCAGCAAGTTCAAATCTAGCCTAAAAGAAGAGTGGCTTTTATTGAACTCTGTTAAAACATTTAATGAATTCACATAATAAAAATTTATCTTTGTTGCTAAGGCCAACCATGTCCTTTGGAGGGTGAATGGGTGACTTGTTTGCTGTGTCAATTCAGTAAGCAGAGAAGTGAAACTTATCTGTTAAGCATTTCCAGAATCACACATTCCCTTTATATGTGCTATATCCATCATATTCCTATCATACGTATATTGATCAATTATGGTAAGTTTGTGTGACTACTGCCAACAGCTGATGCTCTGAGCATAGACAGATAAAGTCGTGTTTGTTTGTTTGTTTTAAATAAATTTAATGGAAAAGCTTTATAGAAGTGATAGAATTGATTTCACCTGTTAAACACTCTGTAGGCTGGTTATAGACTCATTCTTTGGAGAGTGAAATAAGCATCATTCATGTTACTCAGTTATCTTACACGTGCCTTTTTTTTAACTCCTTATTTGACTTAAAACTCCAAAAACCAAACTCACTGCTGTCAAATCAGTCTGACTCATTGTGACCCTGTAGGACAGAGTAGCACTGCCCTAAAGGGTTTCCAAGGCTATAATCTTTACAGAAGCCAGCTGCCACATCTTTTTCCTGCAGAATGGCTGATGGGTTCAGACTACCAACCTTTTGGTTAGCAGCCAAGTGCTTAACTACTATGCCACTGTAGTGTATATTCTTGAACATTTTCTCTTTTTTAGAGTAATTAATATTAGAATGCAGGAAATGTTTATTCTATGTTTCTGACTTCTCTTTCTCATGTGATTCTTGAAACTATTGACGTTTTGGGCTAGATAATTCTTTGTTGTGGCTTCTGTCTACTATAAGATGTTTAGTATCATCCCTAATGTCTATCCACTAGATGCCAGTAGCACTCTTAATCCCTTCTCTCATTTGTAACAACCAAAAATATCTCCAAATACTGCCAATGTCCCTGGGGCATCTGCAGAATTACCCACTGCTGTAAAAGTAGACATTTCTGAAGGTTTTAACACAGTCCCCATAATTGCTTTCATGGTGTGTGTTTTCACACACATTTTCCTGTCCTTTTTAGTCCCCATTCCACGTGTCAAATCCTTATTTAACATGTCCACTTGGATGTCCTGCCAGAATCTCAGTTTCAGTTTGTCTACACTTACCTCTGTCTACCTCCCACCCTAATCTATGCTTCCCACTGATTTTCCATATTATCCTGTCCTCCACATACTATGTCATTACACCCAGGCTGTAAGCTTACTCACATTTGGAGTTGCCTTTGACTCTCTTTTGGCCCAGACATTCTACTCTTTGCCAATCTTGATGGTTTCTCAACTGGTGATGCCTTTTCCTAGATGAGTCATTCATTTCTTTTTACATTTTTCCACTTGAGTTCTGATTATCACTTGCCAGAAGTGGCCTATTATGGCTCCCACCTCCAGTCTACCTCTACTTTATCCAACATACCACTGTCAACTTAATACTCCTCGTGCTACTCCCTACCTGCCAACCCCTCTATTCACACACACACCCCTTGGTATTACCTCCTCACCCTTGGGAAGTCTGTCCTGATTCTTCCTGTGCCTGGACTAACCTTATCTTTGGTGAACCTGCTATTTACTCTCTACCACCCTATACTTGCTATAGTACTTGCTACTCTTTAAGTAATTGTTAGTGGCATTGTCTGTCCCACCAGACTATAAACTGTGATTACAAATACCTTGTTTGCCTTGCTCATCTTTGTGTCCCCAGCACTGACACATTGTACTCATTAAATATATATTCAATTACCTAAAAACTTTGAATTATTCTATCAGTGAAATGATGTCTTCATTACTTACCTAACAGTTCACATGATGGCTCTTCCAAACCTATCCAGCTTCACCACTAGTCCTTTGTTCCTCCACACATAAACTGTGCAGCAACAAGGTAGCTGCCTGTCTTTATTGACCATATACATGGGCCTTCTCACTTTGGGCCTTTTGCTCAGTTCATTTGCTTTTCCTGGAATCATTTTGAAAGTTCCATTGCAGCTAATGTCACCTCTTCAAGACTTCCTGATACTTTATACCATTAAATGATATTTTTTCATTTAAAACTTTCTTGTACCCTATTGCCCTGTGTTATACTTACTCATTAATATCTTTAATCCTTGAGAACACACAGAAGGTACCCAGTACATTTTTTTGATGAGTGTTATTCATTTGGCATGTCTTGTACTGTTTCTCTGCCTATATTTTGAGTCTGACACTATGTTAGCAGTTTGAGCAGGACAAACAGAAAAGTTATCTGATAGTTTTACTACATACACTATCAGATGATTAAGAAAGAAAATAAATTTTCTAGAGATTATAAAGTAATTGTCCAAATGAGTATACATTCATAGAAGGTCTAGGCTTTGAACTGCAGGGTTTGTATCTGTTTTGTTAAATCGAGGTAAAATTCATCTACCATACTTAACCATTTTAAAGTGAACAAATTAGTGGCATTTACTATATTCACAGTGTATAACCACTACCTCTATGTTCATCACCCCAAAAGGAATGAAGTAATAATATATCTATTTAAATTATTTATCAGTTTAGTTATACATATTTTAAAATCACACCAAATATAAGATAAAATATTAATTTAGAAATGTTGCTTTTTTCCACACTCATTTTACAAGCCATTTTACACAAATATTTCATTTTGCATTATAATGAGAGTGTCCTTTGAGGCATCTGACACGGGTTGAGAGCATATTATCTTTACTTTTCAATCCAGATTATTTGAGAGTTATTGACTATATTGAATCTGAGTATGACATAATCATTGGAAGTTTTTAACCTAATCCACAAGGTCTAATTCATATAACATAAGACAGTTGTTTCTGGTTTGATTATTTCCCTACAGTGTTTATAATCATATCAGAGTTAGCCATTTAGGCTTCAGTTAAAATTTAACAAATTTGAAGTAATATTTCAAATACTGAATTTTCTTTTAATACTGTTTTTATTTTTTCCTTCTGAAAGATTCCTGCAGCGGGAACTTTATCCAGAAAGTTGGCAGCAATAAAGTAAGTTTATTAGAGAAAGGTAATAATCCTAAACTCTCTTCCATTTTGGTTAAAATTGAGATCATTTCTTAGCAACTTTGTAGAGTTCCTTTATTGGGTTTGTGTTTGTAGTGGTATATAAATTTACTTCTAAGATGCTTGTCTTCAAGCCTTTATATAAATTATAGAATCACAGAATGTAATGTAAAGCAATTTAATGGAAAATGTGCCATGAGTAATTTCAAGCATGTTCATTAGTACATCATAATTTAGAAAGAGAGGAAGAAAGTTTTGTGCCCAAATTTTCTAATACAAATCATAAATAATATATTTCATCAGTTCTGAATCACACTTTTCCATCATCTCTGAAAACATCATATACCTTAAAACCAGCGGTGCCTCACAGTTCCCATCAGCCTGGTCTGCCAGTCACGTGGAGATAACACTAACCCAAAACTGCATTAAGTTCTCTATTTGAGGTTTTTTTGGACCATACTGGTAGTGGGACTTATGGTTCACATTCTCAGGGGCTCCACCCTCCTATTTTTCAACCCATGCCAAGGGTGAGGCATACAAGTTTCCTTGCTCTCCTTTCCAATATGGCATAGTCCTTTCTCATTTACCTTGTCTTTATGCTGGGTTTCCCATTTGTCCCCAGTCTTGGGTGTGTTTTTCTTTCTTAATGGTACATAAAATGGAAAACAAATCAGAGGTATCTTTATATTAAATATAATAATAAATATACTTTAGAGATATTTTGGGGATTACATAAAAAATTTGAATTGCAACAGTCCCTTCGGACATCTTAGTAAATTCTTCTCTACATTAATTCCTAATTTGGAATTTGGCAGAATAGATCTTGCTCTTCTTTTTTTCTGCATAACTACCATACTTATCACTTGATAAGTATTTACTGACTCCCACAGTAATGTCTGTTGAGGTCACCAAACATTTAAGTCCCCTTCTGTGTAAGGCATTGTTGACACGTTGTAGGACGTAGAAGACTTGGTAAGATACAGCCCTTCTTTTTTGGGGGACATACAAACTTTTATTTCTGTGTTGGCCTAAAATCTAGGAGCCTAAATTTTGGCAGAAACAAAAGTTCTGATAGGAGTATATAACTTGGAGTTTTTGGTAAGATGCATCAGAAGGATGGAGTTTGCTTACTGTGATTGCTATCAGTTCCCCTATTCTCTGGATTTTTTTTAAATATAAGATTTAATTATCTGAATAATCAAGCATATAATTCAAAACCAAAAAGTTTAAAAGTACATGCTCTATAGAGTTTCTTTCCTGTACTTTTCCCCAGTAAACCATTTCCCGGTCCCATAGGCAACTGCTATCTTGGTTTATTATGTATTCATTCTAGAGACATTTTATGCATTAACAAGTTAATAGGTATATATCCCACACAAACACACTTTATTGACAAATGGATACTGTACGTATTACGTATACTACTACACACCTTTTTTTCCCCACTTATTGTAACTTGGATCTGCCTGCATCGATATGAGAAAGTACTTCCCCATATTTTTTTCAGAGATTTTAGTATGTATTCTATAAGGTATACCATAATTTCTTTGTGGTGAGCCCCCCATTGATGGACATTTGTTTGTTTCCAGTCTTGTTGCTATTATAGAAAATACTGGTAGATGATTTTATTAAGTTGTAAAGAGTGCTATATATATATATTCTGAATATAAGACCATTGTCTCATATATAGGCAGTCCTTGGATTAAGAATGTCCAACTTATAGTCAAATCCTACTTGCTCTTTAAGCAGGGCTTAGAACCAATTCTGTCATGATCCAGAAAGCAAAACAGGAAGAATTTTTAGTTTGGATGATTTGTCACAGTAACTGGAATGGGAAAAATTAATGGGTCGAAGCCCTGGAATGGAAGAATTGGTAGAGGCATAATGAGCCCTTTCAGGAGCCTAATGCGGGAAATTGGATTATTGCCAGTACCACGGAAGGCCATACACACATACAAAGCAGCTTGGTTGGCCACCATCTTTGAGCAGGGTTCTGTATCTTTGAGCAAGACAGTGCTGTTCTAGTTCAGAATCATTTTACGTTTGTATAAATTTGCTTTTGATGTGAAATGACTGAACCAACCCCTAACCCACTGCCGTGGAGTCAGTTCTGACTCACAGTGACCCTGTAGAGCAAAGTAGAACTGCCCAGTGGGGTTCCAAGGTCATAAATCTTGATAGAAGCCAACTGCCACATCTTTCTTCAGGGAGTGGAGGTGGAATTCGCAGCCAGGCGCTTTAACCACTGTACCACCAGGGCTCCTTTGAACCAACTCCTATTCACAACAAATTCTTCATCACAATCACCTTTGCTTTCTGGATGTGCAACTTTTAAATAATTGAAAAACTTTGAGCCTCTTCTTGCATTAAAATAAGGCTGAACAAGAACCTTATGTACGTGTTTGGACAGACGTACAAACTCTTAAACACAGTTAGGAACTGATCTCATTTATAACCTTGAAATTGTCTGTATATGTTTCAAATCTTTTGCCCCAGTCTGGCTTGCCTTTTAATGGTATCTCTTTTAGAGTAAAAATTTGAAATTTATTGAAGATCCAATTTTCAGTAATTTCTGCCCTTCCTTCCCTGGCATCCAAACTGCCTTGTATCTTTGATGGGTCTTGTGTAGGAGAATATTCTCACCCTCCCTAACAATTGGTGTGAGATCCTGGACCTAGGTCCATTTTCTGCCCCTTCCCCATGGATTTTGCCCCTTTTCTTCCAGCCATAGTGGGTCTCCCTGTACAATGGGTTTTACTCTATATCCCCCAGCAGCTTAAGACTTTTCTTCCTAGTGAGAAGAATCCAGGTAGAATTTTGTGGCTTTTCCACCTTGTACTCACTTTTCCACCTTGCACCAACCAGGAGTGCATCAATGGAAACTCTCTGGACCCCCACTCTACCCTGTTTTTCTCGTGAATATGCAGTGGAGGTCTGTGGAGCAGAACCTGCCAGTGGGAGCAGACTCCTGTCTCAGCTGCCTACAGGGGTTCTACACTCATTCTAGCCCACACTTTGCTTTAGCAGTTTATTAAAAATTCAGAAATCTTTCCTGATTCTGTGCCACCCACCGTCACTCCCCTTTGCTCTGTGACAGGTGAGCCAGTGCTTGGGTCCTATTGCTCCTTGGATGAGCCTCTCTTTTCTTAGTTTTCATGCTGCTTAATTTCCCTACAATTTCAGCTCTGTGATGACTTCAACAAAAGTTACGATTTTGTAGTTTATCTGACTTCTTATTGCTAAGGATGGGGATGATGCTTTTTGGGGGCTTTCTAGGTGGAAGCAGAATGCTAGATGGATGATTTTTAACAACTAATGACATCACGCCTAATAAAAGGCATGTTCTTGCCTAACAGGAAGGGGCAGAGCTACATGCTTCATCTCTGTTATTCCCTGTGCCAAAAAGATCTTTTCCTATAGAGGAACAGAGGGTATAAAACAATTATCATACCCAAAAGTTTTTAAAGTCACATTCCATTTCTGTGTTCCTGAGGCTACCTGGAATACATTGTAGATTTAGATTTTTTTAAGCAGCTGCATGTTGCAATGGAAAGAGTAAAGCCTCTGGAGTCAGCTAAACTTGGTTTCAGCTGTGGGCCTGCTACGCATGTCCTACACCATCATGATCTTTCTAAGTCTCAACCTCTTCATGTGTAAAATCAGAAAAATAACACCTATGTCAGAAATGTGTGGATTAAATGAGATACATAAAATGTCTAGCAAAATGTCTGGCATGTATTCAATAAATCATTACGAGTTTTTGCAACAAAATTATTAGATAGAATAGCATATTTTCGTAGAATGCCATTTTATATATATTATCTGTATTTAAATATATTACCTATATTTTTTATAGATGCCATGGATCCTGTCTTCACATTATTTTCTAGTATTCTCTTGATGATACTCGTTTTGTTAGAATTTTTGTTACTTTAAAAGAGTAGATTGATGTCTTCAGGGAAAGATCTGTAGTCATTGCTAGGTCCCTGTGCTGATGTGGAAGTGCTAATTTAAGAGTCCATCATCTTATTATATTTTGAGTGATTGCCCCCAAACGTATTATTTTGTTGTTCATTGTATTAAAACTTAACTGTTTTCTGCTCACTCACATAATTCACCTTGACTTACTAAAGTCAGCCATATCAGTTTTATTTTTCCACTGCTGTAAGGAGCTATAGTCATTAGGGGTCTGCAAACATCTCTGTAAAAGACCAGTTAGTTAATATTTTAGTATTTGTAGGCCACATAAGTCTCTGCCACATCTTCCTTTTTTTAAAAAATCCTACTAATATGTCAAAAACACTCTTAGTTTACAGGTAGTACAAAACTGGTTGTGTACTGGATTTAGCTCACAGGCCATCGTTGGTAGACTCCTGATTTTGAACCTTGCGAAAATGTCAATAAATTATTGATGTTTCCCGTATTTCATTTATTTTTTTGTATCCCTTCAAAGACTTCTGAGGGTAATTTACTCTCAAAATGTTCAAGTTATGTCCTCCGTTTTGCAACCAGTGAATTCATGTGTTTAGGCACTGAACAGTAATAGCTGCACTCATTTGAAAACCAGACATAATATGCCTCCTGATGAAAGAACACAGCATTACTTGCAGTAGTGACAAAGGGCTTGAACCTGAATATGATCAGACCTCTGCATACACCTGTCAATTTGCTAGAAATAAAAGAGTAGAAAGATACATGTTGAAGTGCTCTGTGAGCTTGCCATCAACAAAATATAGGTTGTGGGAAATTCTAGAGATCAAACAGACCAGTTTCTTGAACAGATGAACTGTAATGTAAAAAAGAGAGAGAATCCCATAGATTAAATAAGATTCAAAAGACAAAGAACGAAGAAGAATAAGCTATAATGTCTAGGAATACACAATTCAGTAATAAAACCATGTAGACAAAAAGACAAGGAATGATTCCTATAGTGATAGTAGTTAGCAGATAGTGGTAGGCTTTGAAGGGACAGACAGGTTGTAATTGGGAAGGGCCACATAGACTTTTCAATAATTCACTAAAGTGTACAATTTGTGAGAGGTGCAAGCTGGATTCAGAAGAGGACATGAAACAAGGGATATCATAGCTGTTGTCAGATGGATCTTGGCTCAAGGCAAAGAATACCAGAAAGATGTTTACTTGTGTTTTATTGACTATGCAAAGAC